AACAACTCAGGAAGTGGGGGGAAAACTTCATAAGAAACAGACACATCTCATGCCCTTCAGTAGGAAGGTAACAACTGGGAGTACAAATATTCTTTCCATAAGGAACAGTCAAAAGGAGAGCTTACAGCCAGGTAACTGTGCCGGTCTCCTGTGATCCTGAAACTTCTCCTAGGCGTCTGCACTGCTTTGCAAGCAAACCTCAACAGAGCTGTACTCACAGAAGAGAATAAAGCTAAAAAAAATATGAAACAACTCTGATCACTCTCCTTTTCAGCATCAGAAAATGCAGAGTTGGGGGCAAGGAAAAGAGATGAGAGAACAAATCCAGTGGCTGGGGAGAAGCTTTCAGGTCTATTTGAATCCTTATCGAGCATGGTAGAGGAACACAAAATGCCTGCTACGGAGCAGGCTCTCCCTGCCCTTACTTTGTTTTTAACAGACAAAGAAGCTCTCTCTAGAAAAAAAATATGCACTTTTTGCTTTTTAAAAAGGAGGAAAAACAAAAAAAAAAGCAAGCTTTGGGAGAGAAGAACCTACCCCCACCTCCCTTTAAGATGCAAACTTTCTCACTTCCTCAAAGAAGTGTAGTGCACTAAAAAGAAGGTTGCACCGGAGAGCATGTAAGTGTCTGAAGGGGGACATCTCCAGTGCCCCATTCCCAGGGAGCCCACCAGCTCCTCACAAGTAATCTAATGAAAGCTATGCATCCTCTCTGGGCTCCTCATATGAAAAAATACAATATATGAAGCAAAGTTTAGAAAGGATTCATTACTGGAGAAATGCACACAGCTATTAGCTTTCTTCCTTTCTTTTTTCCTCTTATAAAGCAAAAAAACAACTTGTCCCTCACTCAAGGCTCATTTAATCCTACAAGCTTCTTTGCTGGCCTAAGTATCCAGTGAAGATAAATTAGCAATCAAAACCAAGTCAGAAGTGTATAATAACCAAACACATGAAACAAGTTAACTTTAAATATTAACCTGCAGTCTAAGGGATTTTTTTTTTTTAAATTTAAAACTAACAAAAGAAATGACAGGCAAAGTAGATACTCTCGGAAAACACACATGTACAAATGGCCTGTGCTCTGATCAAATGTAATTAAGCACTGAACGTGTCTTACATTGCTTAATTGCTTGAGAAATGCATTAGGCTCCCACAAAATCTATTTATTTTTCCATCCTGCTGAGCACAAACTGGAACATGTGTTTAAAATGACAAATAAAACTATTAATTATAAGAACTGCACTTTGACTAACATTAAAACTAGGTCAGAAAGTTCAAGAAAATTAAGCTAATGAAAATTAGTAATATAACCTTGATACTGGTTTGTGATTGTACTTTTATGGCTTTACTACAGTTTAACAATAAAATGGGGGGTAAGTAAAAAGTGCTCTCCCTCCTTTCAGAGGTCCCTGAAAAAACATACCCGCTGCTGCATCAGTGGGTATGTGCATTCAAGATTAAGCAAGATGGAACAGGGAATCATGACCAATATTCTCCATCTAAACATTACAGGCCTACCTCAGCAGCTATGATCAGGACGGAAGTGGATATGACGGGAAAAGGGCAAAAGGACAAGGACAACTGCAATGAAGATGATGATTTTATTTATTTATTTATTTATTTTTGAGACAGAGTCTCGCTCTGTTACCCACGCTGGAGTGCAGTGGTACGACCCCGGCTCACTGCAACCTCTGCCTCTCAGGTTCAGGTGACTCTTCCGCCTCAGCCTCCCAAGTAGCTGGGACCACAGGCGCATGCCACCATGCCTGGTTTTTCTGTATTTTTAGTAGAGACGGGGTTTCACCATACTGGCCAGGCTGGTCTTGAACTCCTGACCTCAGGTGATCTGCCTGTCTCAGCCGCCCAAAGTGCTGGGATAGCAGGCTTGAGCCACCATGCCTGGCCGAAGATAATTATTATAAAGGCCGCTAACTTTCTGTGAACTCTTATTATGTGCCAGACCACTGTGTAAGTGCTTGACATATGCTAATTCATTCAATTCTCTCCCTATGGGGCCAGTACTAGTATTAGTACTACTTTAGAGATGAGAAAACCGAGACACAGAGGTAAAGTAACTTTCTCATGTTAATACAGCGTGAGGCAGAGCTAGCATGCGGACCATCCAACTTCCTATATTGAACTGCAGCCCATCTGTACTCAAAACACATCAATTAATTCGTCTCTGGCACTCAATAAGCAAAACAGATTTACTCTATGCCAAAAGCTGTTGGTCAAGGAGCATAAAAAATGAAGCAATACTGCCTAGAACTGCATGCTATAGGGTAGAGTGCAAAACCAGATCAGCTAAACCACTGGAAAGCACTGCTCACAAATGTTTTACAGGATTGGAGCTGTCAACTAAAGTAACTGAGACTTTTCGAAACTGTGTTACATAAGGATGCAACTACTGTTTCTCATGGTCTTCCACTTTATAGATTTCTGGTCTTTATAACCTTTCAGAATGACAATTCCATTATGTGTCCAGCCTATGGCATAAACAGCTTTTTTTCCTTTAAGTTTCAAAAGGCACTCCCTGGTCCAACTATTTAAGAGTTTGACTGACAAGCACAAGCCTGTGTTCTCCATTAATGTCAATCATTTCTCCTAACTCCTTTGTCAGGTGAAAGTTCCAACACCATACCCGTAATTTTAGGTGTTGCCCCTCTGCCTTTTAATGCAACACAACATCCTTTTTTGGTCAATGGTGGATGCAGCATTCAAAGAACTAAGCACCCTGATTTTCTACAAAAGTTGAAGTGACGCTTTCTAATTAGTTTCTCATCCTTTCCACTGCTGTCTTCAAGGACACCAGCCACAAGTTTCTGGACCCATTTCCCACAATGTTCCTGCAGGCTGCTTAAGGCCCTAATATTTTGTTACTAAGATGTTGTCAAAATGTTTTTAAAAAACACAATGTTCTATTCCTGCTCACAACAAATCTCACTCTCACAGCCTTGGGAGATTTTGGTGGAGCCTGGGGACACACACACACTCAAACTAAACTTTCGAGTATAAATGTGTGGCACTTTTAGGTTAAAGGGAGTTACTCCTCCCAGCCCATGTACAACATAGATTATGGGGATACTATAACCTAGCAGTCAGGGGATCCACACAATAAAAACGGCAATGTATGTCCAAAATTATGGTCTCAGAGGAAATGGGAGACTGTAAGAATTCATATAAATAAAACATAACAGGGATATCGATTTTAGAAGAAAATGCAATCAAATAAAAATGTTGCAAAAAACTTGCCAAGGAGAAGAAAATTGAGATATACAATACCTAATAGTAAAAGGTTTTTTTTTGTTTTTGTTTTTAAAAAGCAAGCACGAAAGCGTGGACTTGGCTGGAAACAAGACATTGAAAAAGTAAACTCTCTCATGACTGTAGCCACTGTAGTACTGTCCCCAAGAAAAACTAGATGACTATAACCGCCTTGCCCAACAAACCAAGTTGCAAAGGACTGAAATGCTAAGAATATAATCAGCTAGGATACGAAAACCATGGTTCTCCAATGTGAGCTGAAATGGAATAATTAAAAAAGAAAAAAGTACAAGCATTACAGTAACCAGGTAATCAATTACTCGCACAACTAAGCCTGAACCACAGCTCAGCAGAACAACGGAAAAGTCCTGAAGATGTACAATGCATAAGAGACTTGTTCCGGCTGGGCTCAGAGGCTAACGCCTGTGATCCCAGCACTTCGGGAGGCCAGGCGGGCAAATCACCTGAGGTCAGGACTTCGAGATCAGCCTGACCCACCAGGTGAAACCCTGTCTCTACTAAAAATATAAAATTAGCCGAGCGGGGCGCCTGTAATCCCAGCTACTAGGGAGGCTGAGGCAGGAGAATCGCTTGAACCCGGGAGGCGGAGGTGGCAGTGAGCCGAGATCGCGCCATTGCACTCCAGCCTGGGTTAAAGAGTGAGACTCCGACTCTCAAAAAAAAAAAACAAAAACAAAAAACAAAAAAACAGAGAGAGAGAGAGACTTATTCTGCTGCAGAGCCAAAATCGCAAGCTCAGAACTCTGCACAGCCGGCACTGTTTCAAAGGTCAAAACCAGGACCTCAGCAATCTTCCATTAGATGACTTTACCAAGTGTTACAAAAGTCATGACTATTACTAGTCTTTACAACCCAGGAAGCGAAGGAAAGACCGAGGAGAACCGGGAGGCCGTTTAGGAGAGAAAACTACTTTGACAAAGACTGCACAATTACAGAATAAAAATAAAAAATAACTGATAAAATAAAATTAAAACTGATCGATCGCAGTTCACGTCTTTGGCAGCAAACTCCCGTTTGAGCCGAGCAGGAGCAAACGCGTTATGCCTGAACCTTGTGCACATATAATTCTTCTCTCGCACGGCCCGGTTCCAAAATGCATTCACCGCCACTCTCCGCGGAACCTTCAGCGGGCTCTGGGAGCGGCCAGAATTTTCCAAACGAGGAAACTAAGGATCGGCCCAGAACCCTGAATTTTGAGGGGAGTGAGACTTGGGCCCTCACAGGCCCAGAAGCGAGGTATTTCAACTACACCGGGGAGGGGCGGGGTGAAAACTCCCGGGTGTCGGGCTGGCGCAGGCCCCTCGCGGCCGGTCGCGCCAGCGCTTCCACCTCAGGGTGGGCGGCCATGCGCGTGGGCACGCTGCAGAGAGGGCCGCTCACCTGGGCGATGCCGGCGCCCATCAGCCCGCCGCCGATGACCGTCACGTGCTTGACGATTATCTTCTTGGCCGAGGCCGAGGCGGTGGACGAGGAGGACATGGAACGCATGAACTGCCTGGTGACGAAGGCCATGGTGTGGCAGCGGGGGCGACAGCAACGAGACGCGGGCGGACAAGATGCGCGTGGCGGGTAGCGGCGGAAAGCTAGCCTTTGGGGGTGGGGACCTACGCGGCCCTGCCTCCCGAACTCCCCTGGCGTCACCGTGACGTCACCAGGCGGCGGGGCGGGGCCTTGAGGCCCGCTCCTCCCATTGGCCTGGGCCGTAAAGTCCCAGCGCTGAGCGGGTATACGTGCGCGGGCTCCTCATGTCAGCAGCCGCAGGCCCGAGTGAGTCCGGGCTTGAGACCTGCTGAGCAGCGGGACCTGGCGCCTGGCGTTCTGGTGTGGGGCCGAGAACAGATCCTTCTTCTGAAAAGCCACTGGCCCTTTGTTCAATGAAGTGAGTCGTGCTGACTTTGTAAATGCTATCCTTTGATGACGTGTGCATATTTAGACTCTGAAGAAATATGTGCTGCTTGGCTGTGTTGGTAACGGACCCAAAATGTGCACCTTTGGTTGATGTCACCAAATAATCAACTCGGGATTATTTTAATCCCGTGAACAGTGATTGTTTCCCCTAAAAAGGAAAGAAATTTAAACTGCGAACACCCAAAACAAATGTCTAGTGACCCATGAGTTCCAATGCAAAAATCAGGCTCAGGGAAGGTAAAGGGAGAGTTGACTTTTCGTTACCCATCTTGACATTGGACGTCTATCAGTGTAGTGAACATGTGGACGGTTTAAGGTCATAGAGCAACCTTTGTGGAATAACCAATACTTTTAGAAAGCATAGGAAAGAAATGTCTTGTCAAATAATGGAAGACTTGATAGCAACTTGGCCAGTCTTCTCACTCAGGTGAATACTTTTTAATTACTGTAACTTAGTAATATGGGATTTTTATTAATTTATTTGCTTTATGTTTAAATATTGTTAACAAGAAAAACTTTAAGCAAATTAAGTTTAGCAGAGTTTATCTGAGCGAAGAAACCATGAATCAGGTAGTACCCTGAATCAGTAAAGGTTCAGAGAGCTCCAGCCGGTAACAGTGGGCAAGCAGCGTTTATAGACAGATTTTTTTGCAGCCTGTAACGGGTTAAAAGCTCCGCTGCTGTGATTGGCCAAGACTTGGCCACTTGTTAGAAGAACAGACTCTCAAGTTACATTGCAGTGTATTTACGTATTAAGTATGATTATACTTTGCTAGGTAGGGAGGCAACTTCAGGCCAAATTTAATTTAATAACAGTTTCCTGCTTTGGTTCAGCCTCTCATTTTTAAGAGATTGACCAGAACCTTGTTTTGTCTCAGTATGGAAGTCACAATGTCAAATTAGTTGAGTGATTATACTTTCTTCATGTTGTTATTCTAACTAATAACACCATTTGGTGTACAAAGGGTGGCTGCATAGAGACATTTAAGACTCTTGAGGGGAAACAACACATTAGGGAGACTGTTATGGCCACGAGAAGGAGAATAGCAATAAACTGAGGTACACACCTTAACAGGAGTGTCTGCAAACTGATCGAAATCAAACAATTCAAAGTTCAGGCAATAAAGATAGTTCAAAGTATTTCAGTCCAGTTGGTCATAACCTAATTTAGGGCATTATGGCAATTAAGGACTGTTAGAAATGCTTGTTTCTCGGTTCCTTAAAGAAATAGCACTTGAACATAAGTTCAATTTCTTTAGAAAGGCCATTTTTACTTTCTGCAGAAAGGATACACTCACCAGCAGTTTTGCCATGAGAGTACACGAAACAAAGGAGACAGGGTCATCTATAACCTGGCACGTCCACCTTACTGCTGTGTCTGATTTCCAGTGGCTGGAACGGGACCTCACATTCTGTATTTGTCCCGATTGGCTAGTAACTTACAACTTTTTAAAAGAGGCAAAGGCAGAGGAGAACAAAGGAAGGAGGAATTAACTTGTGGAATGCTGAGAAAGGTAAAAACACTTTCAAATAAGGAGGATCAGGCTACGACCTAATGCTCACTTGGACCAGTATAAGCATGCCAGGGCAAATATTTAGGCTAAATTGTGGGAGCTAAAAACATAAAAGTACATTGATTTCTTTATTACAGCTAACAGATACTTAAGAATGTTAGCGCAGGTCTTTGAATAAATTTTGCTTCTAAGAGAGGTTACTGTTTATTTCTAATGAGATGGAGAGGAAAGTCTTTGAAGAGGACCCTCTACTTTACTTTTTACAAGGACCATAGTTCACTGAATGACCTGATTCAGCCTGATGACCTGATATAAAGAGGTATCCATTTTTGTCGTTAACCTGGCAACACGAGTTATAATAACCTGGAGACCCGCTAAAGAAACATAAAGATTAGAAAAGTTTGAAATAGCCTAGCTTGTCTTTCACTACCCAGGATGCCTGCAAACCAACTATAAGCTGCTCCCATAAATGTATCATGTGTTCCTTTCCCCTGAGAAGTTTCCTTAATATATTCAGCGGCAGTGTCTAGAGAAACAGCAGTATCTGCCACCTTTTAAATTAAGGTTTCTGTAGCAGTAAAACTAAAGGAGAAATAAGTGCAACATTCAGTTTTATTCAGCACCATACAAAAGCCCCCAGCACAAGCAAAGAGGGGATCCAAAGCTGTGTAATGTTCCATGAAGTTTGTTTGTTGAACACAAATGTTTTCATCCACTGAAAACATTTAAGTAACTTCTACCCTCTGAACCCCTGGGAAATCTGACTGGCTGCAAATTCAAGATTTTTGCCAATTGACAGATTAGTTTCAAATTCCATACAACAGGCACTCTGCTAATGCCAAGAGTAAGTTTCAGCAACTCCATTGGAACCTCTCCTCAGTAGAAACTAACTTATCTTCATCTATTTTTAGGTTGGTGGTAACTTTGGTTATTGACTGCTTTAACCTCTGATTATGGAAGGTATTATGGGAACTTTCATGGAAAGCTCTTTGGATGTAGGAGCGAGCCAGGCCAAATAGCAAGATCTGAACCAGTGGGGAAACAACAGAGTAAGCAGATTATCCACCAACCCAATATAGGCCCTTGGAAGCTTGAAAAGAGGGCCATTTAGTGGTGTTTGAGCAGAGGTCAGTTAAGTTTGTCCACCCGTAAGTTGGCATAGCTCCTGAACAAAGTCCAGTGGTAAACTTACTCTTCTGTGGTCCCTGTATAGCATGTTGTAAGAGTGCAAACCACTAGATCTAGTAAAAAGACTTTCCTAGATTTAAACCAGTGACATCATACAAGCAATTATTCATACCCACGTAGGTAGTCCCCGGCATCTTGAGTATGCAATGCCTGGAAGCACCAGATAACTTTTGCAGGCATCACTCTGATCTTTTTTTTTTTTTTTTTTTTTTACTTTTATTGACAATCGGCACATAGTAATTGTACGTATTTATGGAGATGACTCAATGCATGTATATATTGAACAATGATCAAATTGGGGTAATTATTAAATAATATACCTATCACTTTAAACATTTATCATTTCTTTTTGGGGATAACATTCAAAATTATCTCTTCTAGCTATCTTGAAATATACAATACATTATTATTAGCTGTAGTCATTCTACTGTGTAGTGGAATAGCAGCTTTTATTCTTCCTAACTGTAACTTTGTACCCATTGACCAATCCCCTCCATCCAGATGTTCTACATTTGGTGACAGTTCAGTTATTAACTGGAAAGATCAAGATACTATTTTCAGCAAGTGTAGGAAGGCAAGTAGCAGTGATGTGTAGCATATCAAGGATGACTTTCCTCTCTTTCCTTGGGGTTGCAGGGTGACTCTCTTTAGGAACACAAAGAGCCATTAGTGTTAATGAAATTGTTTCCAGATTTTTGGGCATTAGCTCATAAACCCAACAGTTACTTTGGTTTCTTAGAGACCATAAGACTTTGCCAAAGTCATCCACAGAGCGTGGTCCCAAGTTGACAAGGAAATTCAGTTATTTCTGTTGCATACAACATTTTGAGATAACAACTGGAATTATGATTAATAGCCTTATACCAGGACTATTAGATTTCTATTAATTTCTTACAAGTTCTGAAATACATATTAATAACATATCCATACATATATAATTCTAAAAAGGTCTAGCATTATTTAGGGTTTTCCTAAAGAAAGGGAAGGAATTTGTATTGCAGGAAATAGAAAAAAAAGGGAAAAAAAGATAAGCCTTTCATGATAGCAAAGAACTCTTGATCTGCAATATTAGGAAAGCTGTCTATATGTAGGATACCATGTGCTTCTAGGGAAAAACTTCCCCAGTCAGCTTTATTTCAAGGTCTCCAACAGGTATACAGTTCCAGAAGTCTACAGGAGCTCTTTTGTGTTGAGAAATGCAGATCCAAGATTCAAGGCCTTGGAGTTTGCTGCAGAGAAGAACTTGGTATGGTCCCTTTCAACTGAGTTCAAGTACTGTCTTTCTCTGGGGTTATTTCCAAAAGACTCCCACCTCCAGGTTTTATATTATGAAACAGTTGGTTGTCATCAGTTGGTGAGTCACGAAGGACTTCTTTCACTTAGTAAAAATATCCTTTTCAGAATGCATTCAAGCCTTGCACTATTAAGTCATGTCAGGGTTTGTAAGAGTGGAAGATACATGAGACTTTATTATTAGGAGCATAAGCCTTCCAGTAACTATTTTATGAGGGGTCAATTTATGTTTTCCAGTGGGAATGGATCTTATTGCCATCAATCAGTAATACCTTTGACCAAGGGAATCCAATCAATTCAGTTAGCTTTTCCTATGCTATTGTGTTTATAATACCTGTTTAACTGTTTTACAACTTTTCTGGTGAATTGCATACCTCTGTTGCTGGAAATTTCTCCAGCAATGCCCCATAAGGGAAACACATTTTCCGATAACCTTTTAGCTATTGTTATATCATTGGCCTCCCTGCATTGGAAATCTTCTGTACAACCAGAAAACATGCATTTAAAGTGGAAATTGAATGAAAGCCATTTGTAAGTGTTCAGGAAATGTATCACCTAAAGTTTTTATTGTCTTACCACAATTATGGGTTTGACAAACCAAACATTGGTTATAAACTATTTTAGCAATTTGGTAAGTCACCCCACCAATCTTTTTTCATAATGTAAATCATTTTATCTCCTCCATAATAATCATGGAGTGCAGAGCTTTTAATATTGGAAGATTTAAGACTCCAGGAGAACCAGGCAGCCATCCAGGTTCTTCATGTGTCCAGGCTTAACACTGGATTTACATTTTCCTAAGTACCAACTTTGTTTCTCCAATTCAGGTGCTTATAGCACTGTTTATTGAATAGGTTTTATCAAATGTAATTTGACTTGGATCAATATTATAGAGTTCATTCAAGTTGTATATCTTAATTATTTCAGTACTGACTTAATTAGCATGAAATTCTGCCCAAGTCATTTCCTTTGTATT